TTGTTAGATAAATATATTTGCTACTTCCTACTTAGGGCATAGTTGAGGAACAAAAGTTCGTTTTGAAGTTGGGTTTACGGTTGAACGGAGCGGCTGAGGATTGTGCATGAAAACATGTTTGATAAGGATGAACGTAAAAATACCAATGACATTTCAGCAGTCACTGGAAACATGTGGCTAATAGAGAAAAGAAATAAACATTCACGTGACCATGCACCGACATACATAAAAATTAGATTTTGTTTTTCAAATGTTTGTACATTAGGCTATCCAAATGAAAGCTAGATTTCCCCTATGCAACTAACTGGAAAAACCTTTTCAAATTAAATAAAGCAATTCATCCAACTATTATATCCTACAAAATATTCTTTNAATATATTTTGGAACTTTTCGGTCTCCGAAATGCACACTGCCCCGTTTTCAAAAGAAATCACCTTTATCTGGATGAATGAATAATTCCTGACTTGAATGTTAGACACGTGTTTGAGAGATTCATCAAGAGGTTTGTTTATGAAGTTAGTGATTGGGGGTTTATTGATCATCAATTCACCACTTACAAATTATGTACCTTAATTACAAAACAATAAATCACTTTCAACTTACAACACACAGATTACTCTCTTCGATAAACTGTAAGAGAGAATTACATTATCGAACCACTATGATGGGTTTATTTTACAAAATTACTTATCCAAAGTATTTTAAATTAAATATTGGTAGCCATTTATTCCTAATGATCCCTCGGCACTGAACAAGAAACGGATACGGTTCACCTCATAAAAGCGGTTATGTGATACAGGAAAAACCTTTATTGACCCACAGAACTTTTGGAGAATTATCGCAGTTTAATTTCAACCTATAGGGTTCTTGATCGACCTTGCACAGAGCGCAAGCGTTTGATAGTTCAGAAATCTTTTTAGTGTAATTAAGTGTCGTTTGATTTCACTTGAAGCGTCCCGAAATTCAGCAATATGTGGCTAAATCTAAAATGCAAAACAATTCCACACCTAATCAAAGCTGGAGCGGAATGCCACCTTTCTACGGGACCCATATACAGCTGGTCAAAAATCAAAGGATCAATAAATTACCCCAAGAACATTAGCTTCTGAATCCCATCGACAACCTGTAACTCCGGTCAGATTTCGAGTGTTTCCCGTACAATGTGGGCCGCGGGCTTGTGTATACACTTTTGTGTGAGCGGAAGTCTGAGTGGAACGTCTGTGTTCTCGGTTCAAAATAATACTTTCAAGGGTAATATTTTACCCATTCCAAATTTCTTCATTGTCAAACAGATATATATAGGTTATCCGCAGTGGATGTATAAAACCACACCGTCAATTTGAATATCTTTTGAGTTGATCAAACATTCAGCTGAGTGAGTAGGAGCCATTAGGTGAGCAAAATAGCCGTCAAAAATAAGTCGAATGAAAGAGATAATTATAAGCAGTAGAATCGGTCCCAGATCATACTAACGGCGATCTCTAACAGGGAAATTGAGCACTTCAAACCTAAACCATATTTCCCCGTTTCTTAAGCGTTTCTCTCTCTCTTATCAGCTAAACCGGATGTATTATCGAACGCCATGTGTAACGGAAGCAAACATGGTACTTACAATGCAATCCGGAGACCGATAGATGCAAAATTCTTTATCTAGCACTAACATCCTCTCCGACAGGAGTTACAACTAGGTCAGAAATGGTTATTGCATCATTAGCACACTGAAGAGGAAGGTGGTTTTTTTATTCTACTGCAGAATTTACCGATCGCAGAACGAATCTTGATGAAACGTCACAATCATGGTTTTCAACCTTTTGATTTCTCTCTGGTATTTTCTGAATAGAAGAATCATTTTGTGTTTAAAATTGTATTGGTTTGTCTATTAGAATCTTTTATTACTAGAAAAATAAATGGGAAATATTTCGAGTAGGTTTTCAGGCGGAGGAATGAAAAATTCCTGGTGCCATTTGATTTCGGTCAGTTTTAAAGTAGCACCATCTATTCCATCGGAATGCGGAAATGAAAAAAGCGGGAATGGGGACTCTCAGCTCGAATTTGCACAAGTAAATAGATGTTGCCTCGACGAGTAGCGGTGAACTCGATGAATTTTGCTAAATAAATCCGTCCAGCGTTTCCTTGAAAGCCTCTAATTTCCGCTGAAGAATCTCCGTGGACGGTCTTGAGCAAGCAGGTACTCGCCAACACGCCTGTATTATATTCCAGCTAAAACGAGAAGCACGACCAAGGTGACAAAATGATCATAAACCGCAAATGCCATGTGGTTTTATATTAAAACCTGATCGAATGAAAATATTAAAAAATCCTACAGAATAATGTCTAACGTTTGAATCAATATAAACGAGTTCATGGGCAAAGAGTTATTTTAGGATATTCCCAGTCGTGATCATTAAGAACATACAGCAAAGTAAAGGCTTACACAATGACCGCTTAGTTTAACGTAATTCATCAGAGAGAGAGAGAAGAGGTCCGTGCATGGTTAGTTACTGTGTCAGGGGACCCATAGTTTGCTGTTCTTTTTTATGTGATTTTCCTCAAGTTTTATCTAGTGATGCATCATGTAACGATTTTCACACTAGACCGAGACACAAATCTAGTAAGCGAATGACGACTGCATCAGCCATCACTAGTGTTGGAACGCAGATCACCTTTGGTTGATTGAGTGATGTGCTACAAAAGGCTTGAAGCAGTACGATTTTGTATCGGGTTATTACAATATGACTCAATATTAAGAGAAGAATCGAAGATAAATTGAGGTTTGCTCTCATAGGAGCACCTGAATATTGTGTATTCTTACTTCCGTCTCGGGATTTGTATAGTAGGCTTGTGTGTTACCACTGGGCTGAACCGAACTGCTCACTCATATTTACTCAGGAGTCGTCTTCTGTGATGGTAAATCAGTGCGTTTTCGACTCTAAAACAATCATCTGTCAGCTCCGTTAGCTATCTGTTAGCTGTTAGAGATGACTAGTCCAAATCAGTAATAATCACCTCATTCCACTATTCATAACTATTTGTAAGGTAAATGTGATTAGTCTAATCTGGAAGACAAATAATAATAGTTCCTTTTTTGAAATGGGCTGAATATTCCTATCATTAAACTTTTTCGAATAAATATTTTCCTGCAGTGCATGACGGATGAAACGTAGTTCTTTATTCAGTATCTCTACTGAGCAAATTTTCCCGTGGGCATTCCAAAAAGATCAAGCAAATAAAGTTGTTATACTGACCAGTTCATTTCTGTGGACCTGCCTTCGCACTGATCGGTTTTCTCTGGACCAAATTACCTCCACAAAGGTCAACATGTTGTCAGCTTTAACCCCATTCGTAAAATTCAGGGACTGACTTGCTTTGGTTAAGCGTTTGTAATATGCTAAATTCTCGATTCACCAGACAGAAGATGCGGTTCAATTATCTACTGTAAACAAACTGTCCCTCCAATTCTGAGTTCACTATGCTCTCTTCTGTTCTAGCCATAACAGTTTTATCTAGCAGCAAACTGAGTGAGCGCAGGGCAACTGACGATAGATGATTCCTTTAAATTGCACCTGGATGTTGCGTGTACAACATTCGAATGGTTATTGTGGATTTGTCACCTAAATACTGACAAACTATATTGAACATTCCTATTTGGTCACACAACTGATTTTCAAATCGCCGTAAGCTTTGTACACCCGAAAGGTGAACTGTCAAAAAAATGGTCCCGTATATAACTGCGTAAACCTCTACCACCAACCAGTTCAGTTCAGGTTGTACAACCGTTAACCATGCACTATCGTGCGCCGGTTTTGTTGCCGTCTTTTGGCTGCCCATTACGATGAACAGTAGGATAAGATAGGAAGTTGAAAGTAGAGTCAGACAGAAAATGGAGAATTTCAGTGGTCTAAGGTTGCATTGAAATTGAGGAGATGCACAGACGCCACTGTTTAAGACAACCAGCTATGTCATCCAGTGTCTCTAACCATCGGTTACGATCATCACGAAGTCCCCAGTGAGGGAGCCTAACAAAACCTATGTGACCCAGACACCTGGTCAGGGTTTTTACACCCTCATGCCAGGTCTTCGTTTGACCACCCTTGACATTTTCCAACTGCTACCTGCCTGTGCAAACGCCGCTGGCCGTGATAACCCATCTACGTTACACATGTTCAAACCAACGTAATCTATGGAGATCGACTACTTGCTCCAGTGGACGACCGCGATCACCGATGGGCGATTCCAAACTGAGCCAATGACTGTGAACATTTTATTCTCAATATTCCCGTAAGAGTACGGTTGGGAAGTGGCGTAAAATCAACTCAACAACTGCCATTCTTCTGAACAAATCGCTTTTATTTTAAACGGAACAATTATGGGTCAATCAACTGAGGATGCAATATGAACGCTGCTCTATCCTGTGGACATCTGTGATAAGTTTCAAAGGTGCCTTCCAGGTGTATGTGTGTGTCATGTAGCGTAAAGGTTACGATCACTTGATTGTGACTTAATCACGTGCTTACATCCACAAGCGTACCTAAATAAATATCAATATTAGTAACTCACAGAGTATCGGGGCAGTTGGGTGGTTGACGTAATCGATATCCGGCGTACAATACATTTGGCATTTCGAACGGATCAAACATGGCGTACGGTTGTTGACCCTTTGTGATCAGTTCCCACATGGTGATCCCGAATGACCACACATCGGTGGCGGTGGAGAATTTCCGTTCGACAAGTGCTTCAATCGCCAGCCATTTTATGGGACGATTTGTATTGTCCCCCAAACAGTGATAATCTTCCGGGAATAGATCGCGACTGAGTGCCGAATCGCTAAGTGACACGTCATATCGTATATCAAGCCTGTGCGAGGAAAAAAATTCAATAATGTGCCAGTTGGTTGAAACTGATACAAAGCACGCAACACGTATGCTCCGCGGGGATTACATATGTATTCCTCCGGGTGTAGGGGAAGATCGAAGATTTTCGGAACGCCATACGGTCGTTATGTCGATATCTCACACTACAATGCTGAAATGTTTACGAAAGAGATTCTTTTACATTTTACGATGCATGCGCACATGAATGTAAAATATTTGAAAAACTTTATTGTTTCAGAAGTTATATGATGCGCTTTGTATAAAGACGAAGGTTTGCGTTTGTTTTATACATAGATAATTCGCATTTAACTCGTTTAACTGCGCGTGGGGTAATTGATATGGATTGATTTGACTGACTATCCTTCGGGCTTCACCTTCACACACAATCCTCAGTTGATCGACCACAACATACGTAGCGATGGTATGAACTGATTGGCACAGTGGTAACACACACGCCTTCCATGCGATGGGTCCGGAATTCAAATTCCGGACGGAATGATGGATATGCACTACTGATGAGCTCTAATAAGAGCGAAACTCAAGTCTAGTGATTCTGTGTCTGGTTGACTGGATGAACTTAGGATTTTGCGTGAAGACAAAGTCCGAAGGATAGTCAGCCAAATCAATCAATTTACGGATGAGTTTGTCGTGTACATACCAACTAGAGCTTTACCTAAAAATTTAGGTTGCACTGTATGTCCGTGTTGATCTCAGCGGTTCAAATCAGCTGTGGATATCCATCATCCCATCTGATTTATGAACTGGAAACCTCACGGGTAGAACACAAGGGTAGTCAGGTTGAGATCTTAAATCTGGAGGCTAGCATTCAGATGATTTAGGCTTGATTTACGTAACAAGGTAGCAAAGAAATGCTGGCTTACTTCGTGTGTAGACAAGATGAAAAACGGTCTGATCAGCTGTGGTCAATTTAAAACGATACTTTCTAGATGATATAGCACTTCTGCGGAAACTCTAGGTCGAAACAGCCGTTCAGTACTTCCTATATTTTTATTTAGTATTTTATTTGCATTGTCAAAGTCAATGTTCATCACAGAATTTCACTAAATCCTCTTCTCTTATATAAGTAACTTTCTTTGGTCTCATTAAAGAGTTGATTTCACAAATGAAATAACGATTGGAACACTAAAGGCTTGATCATCAAAACTGATGGGCTCCCAAAGCTTTTTGACAATTATATCAGATTTGCCTCCGGGTCACAATGGGTGTTTCTATTCTATGCAATTTTTAAGAAAATTATTATTTGACGAATGTCATACGAACAAATTGATGCGACTTATGAGTACATTCTCGGTGGTTGTCTATGAGTCACTTGATGACTCCACCCATTCGATACAATATGGGATGAACTCATGACACCTGAAGGTCTTAATTTGCATTCAAGCCGTGGAACAGCCTCGAGGAATGTGGTAAGAAAATAGAGGATAGATAAAACTAGTTTAAAACGAAAGAAACCGAACAAGGAATTTGTGGCACTAGCAACTTAAAAATGTCATCTACAACCGTGAATTGGATGTGAACGTCTCATCATTGTCGCATTCTTTTGGTAACAAATGTGTTCGCTGAAGGATGAGAACTGCACGTTTTCTAGGCCTAAAATTCCATACTTTCTGATCGTATGCTATTTTACAATTAAAATGTAGTATGCTAGTGTGCAGATGCTAAAAACTGATCCGAGATATATTGTGCAAGTGTGATTCTGGTGTCATGATTCAAATTCGTTAGGAAGAAGCTGAGAGAGAATAATTGAATTCACTGAATTCAAATATATCAAGGAGTGTGATTTCTTGAGTGATCGATAAACAACGGTATCTCTGAAAAACGTGCGTAACGGAAATTTCATGAATCAGAATAGTATGTATTGTTCGGTAATCAAATGATTATTGACAACGAAAAGAAATTAATTGTTGCACTTACAGTTTCAATGAAAATTTAAATTTAACTTCTTCGTTCAACTTTGGTGATGCCTTTAACAAGTGACACAGCATCCACATAATCTCCACATTTGTTCGCTCATTATCAGTTTTGCCATTGTAGCGTTTCACTTTCCCCTAGTTTACATACCCGAAGTTTAACTGCACACTTGAATACCCAGGATCACTCAGTGTGCCACTAACCATCTACCATCTTTCGGACTTGAACAAAATACTTGAGATTATTAACTGTTAGCTCACTGGTTGACGGACTTACCCCAGACAAACCTTGCACTCGAAGATGAGTGTTACATCGTTGACCCGTACCGACTTTCGGGCACTGCTCCCAAGACTTTCAGGTCTAATTCATACCCTGAGTTATGCCGTTCATTTTAAGAACCGTTTCATTTGCTTCCAGGAAGCTTGCCTAATTAAAACGGTGGATGATACACCAGTGTAACAGGCAAGTTTTAATTGTTATCGAGAAACAGGAAACCTATGCATAACAGAACGCAAGTGGTATCATTACGCATAGCCCACCGTTCTAGTGCATCAGACGACATTCTTATACTGACTTGTCCAAAGGCTATGGCTTTCGGAGGCTTCGAGCGTAACTCTCAATTTTCTCACTATAGAGATATAATAGCCACTAACTCGCACATTGTCCCTCTCTGATCTAGGTGAACTCCTACTTTTTCTGCAGCCCAAAACGATATTTTTTCTACAATCGGACATAACCAACACCTGGGTACTGTATTCATCAATCATCAATATCTCATGCTTGTTGGATCGCATATACATTCACAAGCCCCCGATAGTATGTGTAGTCGACTCAAACAACGTAGCGTTTGCACAAAGCTTCATCCCAAAATATATCGTTTCATCGATCACTCAGTAAGGTGCTTTCACGGTTTTCGTTCTCTGTACACGTCATTTTTCCTACCAGTGTCAGGGCTATTCCAGACACTTTTGTCGGATGCGAACAACATTTGTGTGCAACACGAAGTTGCAAAAGAAAAATCAGCGTGCCCACAGACACAACGAAAGGACAGCGAAAAATGTTATCCGAATTTGATCCCAGCGAAGGTGTCACCTGGTTATGTCTGATTTTCAGGTCAACTCCTTCAAATCAAGCACCGCAACGTTCTTAGGGAAGGTAGTGAACTTATCCGTAGGCCAAATGCCTAAACGTCTTGTTTTTTTTTATTCACTCAACAACAAATACAGTGTGTTCACATTCCTGTTTGTTTTGCGGAACTGCTACCCATAAAACATATTCAATAACAAACAGTTATATTTTGAATTCCGCGCCAAAGCAACACATCCTCTACTTTGCTTTGGGATGAAGTTTCATCTGCACTTCTGTCCAAAGCGAAGACTTTTATTATGAACTCGTCTCTGGGCTACTGTTAAATCGCAGACTATAGCCCTTCCTTTTAAAGACCATCAGTCACAGGAAATTGTTTCCATCTAACAGCTGTACAAATCTGCTGCATTAAAAGCAAGTTCAATGATTACTGTCAAATTATTATCTTTACACACTTTCGTGCCGCTTTACCGCGCCCAATTTCAAATACCAAAGAAACAGATGTACCTCATAACTAATGGCTTTCCCAGCACGTTTTATCCGTCAGATGTGTATTTTTGACTACTATCGTGCTTTCTCTGCAACTCTTCACTCATGGCTCTCACAAACACTCAACAGCTAATTACCTCAAGCAATCGGGAATCATTACCAACACTAACCTCGGACGGATGCGGTCGGCAATTTGTTCATGCATGCGCAAACCACGGCGACTATCATCTGATATTCGCAAAACCAGAGGCTTTAACCCCTCACAAACATTCACGACGGCATACCTATAATCAACCAGTAGTTGTTTTTCATGTTACCCGGGACTCAGAAAGAGGACTTTTAAATCCTGCGTTGTAATTCTTTGATTATCACTTGTGTTTCTCTCCATTTGTTTTTCAAGCAATGGACTCGAATGCTTATTAATAACCAATTTCAAACATGCATCATGCTGGCTCACAATACATACTCTTGCATTGTGTGAATTAAACACATCCTGACCTGTGTTTTGGTCATCGAGGTCTGCTCACTTTCAACTCAGCCCTTGCACAACGATCTACCAGAACTCCATCGCGCTCCATTTCACTCGCTGGAAAACATCCAAATATGACCTAATGACGGAAGCGCACTTTTATGGTGGTGTTCTCGCTCGATTGTTGACTAAACTGATTCACCTGTTTTTACTCCACTTGATAGAATATCCATTGCGATAGTTGTTGAGCTTTTGTAATTTGACTGAAAGCCAATGCTGACAAAAATGCATACAAATGAGCATCAAAATAAACAACATCAATCAAACAAAAATCAAACCTGAGTGTTTAAACAACAAACAGATAGCACGTACTTAATTAAAAACAAGAGGATAATGATCAATTTGGGGGACAGAGAGTAACGCCCGTTTGCAGTTCATGAATATATGCGGTTCAGTCAAGCATACCATTTTTTATCCATGGCCGATTTCAATGATAAACTGCCAAGTACTTCTTATTACAGCAAAGTTTACATCATAAATTTGTAAATAGTCTTATCCTTGCATAAGAATAAAATGAAAATGTGAGGATCTATCATTTCTGATAAATGACCTCGGGCATTTACAAAGATATATATTTTCATTATTAGATAAATTATTAAATGACCCGGGTTAGCGTTTGTTCAGTATGATGGTGAGGATACAAAACGTCATGAAGTCATTCATGAAAAATAAGTTGTATAACCGGTGGTATCTGCAAAATAATCAACTAATCTCATATGAAACACTGCACCCCAAAAGTATATGTTAAAGGGAGGCTTTTCGTTCCCTAGGAGTATAGAGGATGCATGATAGCAGCAGTCTTTTAGTTGTTTCATCTATTTATTTAACCGAATCACATTTATGGCGCCAGGTAACTGAGGCCTGCATTATCGTTCACAAAGCGTCAAACCACTACACACGCAAACAGGAATATATTGTGGTTAACCGAAGCCGAAAATCCTTAAGGAGTTTATGTAACGCATGGAAATACATCCACTCCATTAACGAGTTCTCATTTCTAATCCAGTGCCTGTTTAACTAGCAAGAGAGTACAGTTTTCCATGATATTAAATGACTGCCGAACCGAACGTAAAATAAATGGTTTAGGAGACGGATAGCGGAATAACGTAGCACATTCGATTAATTACGCATTTGTTTACCAAATGTCTGCTTGATGGTACCATTTACAAAAACGTTCTTTTATGAATTGTGCTACCTAATAGGCAACGTCTATTGGAGTCCAAAAAGTTCACTATGCGAAATCAAGCCCAAGTGTGAGATCCCTTTCGATTAAAAATATCACAAATTCCGTAACTTCTTTAGTCATGCACATCACTTAAAACCGTATTCTGCTAAAAGTGGTATTTTCATTTCTCATCGGTATCAGGACTATGGTCCGTGTGCGCACTAAAAGACAACGGCGATCAAAGTGCCCAATGCCAATCTGCGAGTAAGTTGGAACATTTTTTCTACAAACAAGTTCAATCCGCGCATTTTGGTGAGACTCACAAACAATTTCTGGTTGCAACGTCGCCATGAATAATTTTCATCCCGTGCAAATAGTCGACGGCACTCAGTATTTGCAAACCCATGGAAACCAACTGATCCACAGTCAGAACCTGTGTGAACGGATAGAGAAAAATAAAACGAAAATGCGTAACTCGAGTTCACCAAATTTTTACATAAAATCGCCGCTTAGCGTGTTACGATTCTTAATATTATAATATTCCTAGTCAGAGTATTTTACTGGGCCTATGCACAGAACAATAACGCGCAATCAAATGAAACCTTTACACATACAAAAACACAAGAGATTTTTTTATTCAGTCCGGTTAGTTCGTAATGGTTAAAGGAAGGTGTGTCTGCGGGAAAAAGGAATTAGTTCTATGGGGTTCCGTGCAACTAGCTACAGCGGTGCATTTAAATAACTATTTGACTTATTATAATGGTCAATGCATTTTCAGCTACAATGGGATCAGATGAGATAGGCCTCGGAACAACAACAATCCATGAATTCCGATTTAACTATGCTTAAAACGGTGTGACGAAAGGGCTTGCCACATGTGGACGAGTAAGGTGAACCCTTGATTGTGCCTTTATCGCCAAAAAACGGGCAATGAAAATTACATTCAGTGTGCGTTAGGGCTACAGGCAACTTGAGCACTGGATGCTCATCACCGGAGATTGCATAATGCGTGATTGAAAATTGGAACCAGAAATGTGCATCGATTGCTTATAACACTAACTCACCGCTATGTACCCGTGCTCTCACACACATACGATGAGCAATCGCCCTATCAACCAGTGGTTCATGGCAATAGTTAGAAAAAAATTAATGTTTGCAAATTATGTCGATATTTGGGGAAATCTCGTCAATAAACTTTCTACAACGCCTGGTCTGAGACAGGTGTGCAATATAATACTGCATAGTGTTTCGTGCTGCCTGAATATTTATCCTAAAATTGAACTATAAGGGAAAGAGTAAAAACAACAACTTGTATGATTTTTAATTCCAAGTTATAGTGTCTACTACAAGTCAGCTTGGAGCATTCAGTCCGTTTTGTGAATAATTTGATAAATCGTAAAAACACCATCAGATCTATCGACCTTTTCAGAAAGGAACGTGAATGTTCGATGATCGGAATTCTACCCAAACATAGTTGTAGTGTGCAAAATTTTAGATGGTGTGCGTGCAATTGCTTCAAATAACATTTATGATCAAGACCAGCAATTCTACAGCATTTGTAAGCGCAGTTAGTTAAATTTTTTATTGGTGTTTACTGGTACGGGATATGAATTGAGAAAAGAAAGGTGATTACTACTGAATATCACGATATTTCCCATATCCTGTCTTCTGTCCAGCCTATCACATAAGGTGTTTACACTAAGCTGAATCAAAGTATAACAATGAGAATAAACGCACAGCATTACGACCAGTAGATAATCAGTTACTAATTCTCCTAATGTGTTCTCAGAGTATCGTGCATTACCTTGGTAACGCTTGCAATTTGGCACACTGAAATCTGTCGAGATTGAATAGAGCACTGTTGTAAAATGGCTTAGCTCAAAAACCCATTCGGTCATTTTATTTTTCTCAGCATGTTGTACCAAACGAACAGCCAGACAGTGCCAAGTATTGTGTATTGTATTGTGGAATAGTACAAAACGAACTACTTTTCAACTCATCCCTTTATGTACACCTCAAATATTTTGTCAACTTGTTGAAACTTCGGACATAAACTGTTCATGGTTAATTTTGCATCTGTACGGATGGGTATTCACCAGTGTCAATCCAGNCCAGTTTATTATCATACGATTCCATTGGTTTATTCCTCCATGAGAAGCAGTAACTAGCGTGTTGTATGTACATAATCTTTTTCAAGGACTACGTCCGGGGCTAATGTCAAGTGGTCCTCCAAAAAAAGTGACTGAATTTTATTTTATTCAGTTAAAGAGGATCTTTTTTATTGAAATCACAATTTGATAGAGGATACTGTTTTTTTTCTAAACTCTTTATTATTTTTTCTTCTTACGGTTCTCCTAAAAATGACTTTAACAGAAGGTTGAAAAGAAATATAATTGTCCCAATAAACAGATGAGCGTTCCAGATACTAGCATATTGTGTGAAATGAAGCGTCTGTAACTAATTTCTTTTTCAATATATCTCATCAGGAGGCCACATCTGTACGACACTAATAGTACAAAAATCTGCATGACCGACAGGCGTTTACCTTCTAGCGATGCCAGAGGTGATCAAACCGAGCAAGTGAGTGAGTGTGAGGACGCAAGTGGAGTCAATGTTTGACTTTTGGAGGTAGTACGAGGATAGAAGTCAAATGAAATAACAGCGGAACAAATGGGAGAGTTTGACTAAAATGTTGATAAATGTTACCAGTGAAGGCGAGAACGACGGGGGGGGGGTTGGAGACACTCGAAATTATGTCATGTTTTTTATTGTACGGTATAAATGTGAAACAATAATGGCAAACAGAAACCGTAATAATCAGTCAACGTTGCAGTGGATGATACAGGGTGGTAGCAGAAAACACAAACTTTGTGCACAACCTATCCTGTGTCCCATTAGGTTTAAGATTAGTGTCTAAGCTAGCTCCATTTGATTGCATACTCCGGGATTGAAAGTGTTAATTGCAGTGGCTTTAGCTGTGGGTAAAAGGACCTTATTACTCTTGTAGAGTATTTCCCAGTATTAGAACAATCTACTTCTAATGCCTACGATTTGCTCATAACCTACCCGCTATCGACGAGATGATCCAGGACTGATCTGGGAATGTACCTAACTGTCCCTTTGTAGAGGGCAGCAGGTGAATGTTCAGCATCATGATAGTTTTGTCGCTTGTCTACTGCATCTCACACTACAAGGGGACGTGAAATGATGTGAAACAATTTATTCAGACTAATGAGAGCTTTATCTTTTGTTTATTAGAACATCAAGGGCAGAGCGGGAGTGAAGAATTATTGTAACACTGCAAGACAAGTTCAAGAGATCACTCTAAATGGACATCCTTTAATCTTGTGCACGCATATACACTGACTTGTCCAACTTGCTCACATCCATCAATGTGAAAAACTAACCTGTCATCTTCGTACTAGACAACCACCCGATGTAATACTCCGAAACGAAATTTTTTCGTGAACGCCTTTTCAACGCTGTCTATAGCGATACTCGACGAATTGCAAGTTTGTGTTCTGTTGGACTGTATTCTAACGCATGATAAGACAGCACTGAATAAAATAACCCCCTGTTAACCAAAAAGACTCACAACAGCACTGTGCTCATCGGAACCACCAGAAACGGTTTTTCGGAGGAATTGTTTCAGATTTCCGTATTTGTAATGGGGATAAATGAGAAGGGGTATCGTTCCAGGACAGTCCGAGTGTGGTGTGTTTGATCGTGCTATCTGGGTGGAAGCGAGCACGTTAGCCAGCCGTTTGTTTCTAATGCCGGCCAGTTTGGAGGCGTCTTTCAACAGGATGCGTATCTGTTCGTTTTTTGCCTGAGCTACATTACAGAAGAAAAGGGAAACGATAATATCCCCGGGTTTGAATAACTGCTCAAAACACGTATGTAAGAATCGCAATTTTGAAGGCATTAGCTCAGAATGAACCATAGTAAACTCGCTTATTCGACGGGCTAAATGAAGGGTATAAACGATTCGCGGGAATAAATGCTTCCTATTCTTAGTTCTCTTGTATCACCGTTGGAATGTACGTGACCTCGAGTGTCGCGCTAAAATTTTTGATAGTTCCAAAGTTACAGCCGAGAATTGTGAAATATTTCATTGAAAGCAGCTTGGAAGTTCATTCTTTCTAATAAACGATTGCTGTTTTATGGAAGTGTTTAGACTGATCAAAACATATGTTCTAAATAGCTTATCTTTTTGCACGCAATGCACAGTAAATAAACCGATTTCCGAAAATTTATAGTAGAAAAATATAAGTGCATATTAGTACAAATACTTTGTGTCTGATGTAGGATAATATCTTATTCACTTCCGTAAATGAGGCTCGAAAAACAAAGCGTTCGGAGAAACGCATGTGTTGAAAGTCAGAATGTTGCACGACTTCAATCAATATCTGAATATGTTAACAGGACCAAATAGGTTCATGATAACTTCGGTTAATTTTTGGTGAACAGAAAACGGATAAATATGCATAAAGCCTATAAATGTGACCTCTACGTTTCTACACTTCAGTTTTGCAGTACTGATACATCCCAAAGCCCCCCAACAGGACAAGCAATAAAAAGTACGTCCTACCTGTTACTGTTTTCACCAAAACCTTGGACCAACGATCAGCCCGGAAGCGTTTGCGATCAGCTGGCAGATGAAGCCTTGCTTCATACACCTTGCCAAATGTGCCTGTCACAACGAAGTACAAGCGGGCGTACAAGAATCGGCTTGATGATGTCACTCACAAAGAGGGAATGCATTTGATAACATCGGCATAGGGATAAATTTATTTTATTTCGTTAAATTAAAGTCATAAGCCAATTTGAGAATTCATTCATACTTAATATACTATTGACTGTAAAAGATAACCATTTCCGTGGAAAACATTCTTATTGATACACTTCGATTAATTTCTCTGATCACCCACGTTATATCGTACGAAGAGCAGTTCGTTTAGTTACTGTTGAAGGGCACGATAAAACACAGGTATTTTTTCAAATTGGTGAGTAGATTTCTGTCCGTATACAATGTCTATCACCTTTTGGTATATAATATGAACCATGAAGCTACCATATACTTCTTCTCATAAAGACGTGATGCGGAGCCAGATGAGTCTTGTTGCCAAATGATAAACCTTTTATGTATAAGGCGATCGTTCTGGTTGTAATATTTATTCGTTTTTACTAGACAAGCGGTATGTGTTTCACTAGGACGAACATGGTGTAATATAGTGAACTCAAAGGGGCATTATTCAAAGCCTCACATATTGAGCTATGAACGAGTCACATGTGCACTTTTTTTGCCCACAGACCCTCTAGGGAAAATAGTTCCGTGGAAACAAATCATAAATAAAAGGTTGATTCAGAATTGGCTTAGGAAGATTGTGAGTATAAATTATCCAAAGGATGGTTCTTTACCCAGGACGGGAATTTTCCTTACAGAAGAAAGAGAAACATGAACCGCCGGTTTTTCCACAACGAAATAAAACTAAGAAACAAACCCCGCAGAACTATTGGAAAGAAACAAGTTATTTCTCCACACTTACACAGTTATTCACCTGAACAGTAAGGCAGAGTACCAAGATCATCCCCCCCTCCCCCGCTCCGTGCAACTGCGATCTGGGCCTGCCCAACCTTGCACAATAATCTGTGGATCAAATGCCTGCTCATTTCGTTCGCTAACGGTAAAACAAATAAGGCGATTTCGTGCAGGTAGTGTTATCACCCATTTACGTTACTGTGAGAATCGTTACATTCATCGCGATAACACAGGGTTAGAGAAGATTTTGTTTAGAACCCAATAGAGGAAAATGTCACGAACCGCAGTGGAATTGAAAACCGTGTAACGAGTTACAGTGGACTCGGTACAGCGTACACTGTTACATCTTTTCACATTTGAATTTTTCCTGTCCACATACCTTGAAGAAGTGAATGCACGCCACAGCTAGCTGATCTGCAGTGAGCTGAATACCGCAATTAGTTTTCTGCACATTTACAGGGATTCGTTGAATGATGATCCGGTCAAAGCACATTGTTCGATTTTCATTTTGTGCCCTCCGCGCTCATTACTTCAATCGCATACTGAACAATTACCAAGATGGCGTCAAAACGAGGAAGGAATTATCGCAGAAGCTCTTCATATTTCACAGAAACCAGACAATCCTGAAGCACTTGACCTCCCACTTGGTTCAGTTGAGAAACAATTAACAAAACACAGCGGTGAGCGATGATAGCTGTCTCGCAATTGATGACTTAAACTTATGCAACAGTGGTTCTGCCCGAAATGGGGATTCACATTTTCATAAATGTAGGGAGATTGAATTGAAATGAGAGCTGATATAAAATCAAAATCAATTTTGAAGACTTTATTCTGCAAACAATGGATGAGATTAGTTAACAGGCTTGTGACGAACTAGTCTATAGGACTAAAAAACGTAGTTAATCATTTTTAATTTATAAAGTTCAACGTTCGCTGACCGGAAAAGATTGTGAGACAAAAGACTACCCACAGTTCATGGGTCAATCCAGAGAAATGCGAAAGGTTGTGAAAAACAAACTGCCGTAGGAAGCAGGGTTTTGGGTTAAATGAGAGATCAATTAGTTTAGACCATTTAGCTGATTGAATCCGGCATTCGAATTGCTTATCAGCACTAGTCCCAAAACTCTGCACATGACCGATGCCAAAATGTTCGGTTAACTGATATCTCACAACACACTGCTGGGAATCATTACCAACTGATGAGTGTGACACGTTTATTTCAGCACCACGTTTTCCTCGGAGTTCATTAGTAAGGTCTTACTCGGTAAAGTTCTTCTTGACAGGGAAAAGTGTTACCTTACGAGCCTTGCATTGGTGGGGACTCGCTCCAGTTTATATGGTCAAATTTGGCCTACCAGCAATGGAATGCTTGGGTGCACGGTTTATTCAATACAAAAGTTCTTTACATTGGATTGACATTTCTCTATTCCGAGTCCATCAAACATTATTTGGCATTGTTTACTTCGATCAACACGAAGCTCACGTTGAAAAAACCTACAAGATAAACCTGTTTGTTAAAAAAACAGTGTTTTCATTGGCTGATCTTCGTTTCTTCCAAAAACCGCACGACAGTTAAACGGAAAGATTCTCCCGAAGCATTACATATTAAAGCTATATTGGTAGCACAAATGCATCTCTTGGAAGCAACTGTTGTTTTATAGAACAGATGTTTCTCGTATCAGTTTAACTAGGATAATTATAGTTAAACTACTTACTAATTACTTTTTTCAAGTTCTTTAATAATACATGCATTTATGGAAGAAGTACACCGTAGAGTTCTGATGGAATAGATCTATAGTTGTGTCCAATCAAATATGCAAAATCAGTTGGAGCTATCTACCGAAGTAATGGCCCTCAATTGTGCAATTCTATCGTCCTCTTTATTCGTGCAACCAGCATGCCAGCATGTTAAGTTGTAAACAATTCACCGAATCAAAAACACACTTGAACTGAGAAGAAACCTAACATGTTTGCGGTAATCCAGTATAAATGAGAAATGCAGGATTTGATTCAATTTCAAAAATAAGTTCGTCGTGTATATAGCCAATGAGGTGTAAACTGAAAATCTAGGAAGCACTGGACAGCTGTTTCGACCTGTTTGGGTCTCAACAGCAGAGCGAATCCATCGACCCCACTGGGTGTGAATATTTCCAACCGAGTCATAACCCCGGAGTCTAGTGCTGAGATGAGCGAGGTCTGTGGCCTGCAACAAGCTCGCAAGGATGGGTTGTGCTATGTCGTGAAAATGGAAAATGAAAAACGGTTTGATCAGCTACCCGGTGGCCGAATGGGTAGTACGCTTGCGTTCTGTGAGGTCCCAGGTTCGATCCTCAATTGGGTTGAGGGATTTGCGCTGCTGATGAGACCCAACCAGGTCGAAACAGCTGTCTAGTGCTTTCTAGCTTTTCAGTTCAGGTTTTTTGTTTGCTATATACATGACGAATTTGCCTTTGAAATCCAGTATAGGTAAAATATTCCATCCTGTGAGGTTTTAAACCAAATAGTAAGGACTAAACCAGTGTCTGAGACTGCATAGTTGAAACATATGTCCGACAGAAATACCCGAATAAACACGTTTGTTTGAAGCGTTCTTCGCATAAAACCGAATTTGGCCTTTTTGAAAGACAATGAGCACACAGCCACAGTATGTACTTCAGTCAAGTGGTGTAAACGAACAACTCAAACGGTACTCAAAGTTCTTCGTTATAGAAGTATTTCCGCGTCGTTTTTGTGAAGATAATCATATGATATTTATCCATATGGCTAGTCAATAGCCCAATCATACATAAACGTAGTGTAAAGTGGGGAATCTGTCCAATTCCGGTTGAACTAAACAGATAAACACATCCAAAAATGCATAACATGCACGAAAGCCAACCGACCTTCGATGAGCAAATTGTCGAGAATAACTCGTTCTGGTAATATAAAAAGATCCGCAATAATATCGAATGGATCCCGTGCTCTGGGTGATATTTTGGGAGCGATCCTTGCCCGAAAGCTGGATATACCTGAAAGGGTAAGGATTGACGACATCCAATTTTTATTTTATTTTGTACAAAATTGCGCGTATTTCATCAAATATTAACCGCTGAGAGAAATATGAGCGGCAATGATAGGATCAAAATATCGGATCTCCGGAGTGATTTATTGGTACCCCATTTCATTTGACAATCGCTAATCAGTGCAAAGGAAGCACACGTTTCGCGCATTAAACCTTTTTGAACCTTTAGTGATATACTTGTCAATGAAGTACCATACACATGAAATGAGCCCAAAATCTGGATATAAATATGGCCTGCGAAATGCAAATTAAATGTCTTACCCATAGAATTTGTTTTATTTTATATTGCATCATCAACGGGCAGAAACCTTCGACTTTTTTA